AGGATGTGGGACCAACACTTAGGCCCCTGGGGGCTCATCTGGATGAAAACCTCGATGGGAGCTGGGATCAACCCTTCATGCATCTGGACACACAGCAAGACCTGCCAGGGGCCCCTGGTGAGAGTCAGGGTTGTGTGTGGGGGCAGAGGGGCAGGTGGTTGTCTGTCCTGCTGGTCTCCAAGTCCTCATCTCCTTTCTGCAAAACCTATAGATTCCATATCCTGGTGTGTCTTATTCCCTACTACCCCGCCACCACCATTTTTTGAGGCTAGAACTGGCACAGGCTGAAAACAAAACCAGGTTTAGGAATAACCTGGGTCAGTGAGCGGGCGGGCAATTCTGGGGAGTCTGCCGTGCCTTGGGTACCCTCGTTGCCACACAACACTCACTTTTAGCCCTCAACCAACCAATTGCCAGCTGGCCGGCGACCATCTCAACTTAAGAGTAATGAGTTCCATATGTTTCCATAAGAAACCAGCTAAGCTTTTCCCCAGCAGTTCTTAAAAAGTGTTTTCTCCCCTCCCAGGCTTCCAACTCACGCTTGGCCACCCTTGTTTCATTTACTCCTAATGAGATCGGGAAGGAGGGGGCTGGGTGGCAATGACAAGGAGACAGTGCCTTAGGGAATCACCATTCCCTGACTTCACATTTCCAGATCCTCAGGGTGAAGGGGTGTGCAGCCCACCAGCCCCTGGCAGTGCCTCTGTGAGAGCCATGGGTGAGGGCTCTAGTTGCCCCATCTCCAAAGTGGGAATAACAAACCCTGTTCACGGGAGGCTGAGTATCCCCAAGAGCCCTAGGTGGGAAGCTAGGAGGCTTGGACTTGATGGCTGTCTTGTATTGTGTGTCCCTGAGTAGGTTCCTGCCCCTCCTGGGTGGAACTTATGACCTCTAAGGGCCTTTCCATCCCTGACAGGCTTTAGATTTATGAACGAATGACAGAAGGTACAGGGAAGAGCACTAACTTACCTGTTCAATACAGGTGGCTCCAGGCTTGGGTTGGTGGAAGCCTAAGGTCTCCCTATGGCCAGTTTGGGCTGCCTTTGACCACAGTCTGGCCCAGCGAGGGCTTCTGCCTCCAGTTTCTGGCACAAAGCAGGGGTGGGATGGTGCTCAGGAGGACAGGAGGACAGGGCGGGTCCACCGACGGCAGGTCATTCCCACCACCGCTTGGGTGGTGTAGTCCGGGAAGACTGTGGCCAGCCCCCAGCCATGGAGGGATGTGAATGAGTTCAGAGGGCTAAGGCACCCACTCCCCTTACCTGGCTTGTCCAAGGCAACCCCCAAATCCTGGTCTCCAGATGACTTACTACCCTGATCTGGACCAACCACTGAAGACTAAACTCACTAAACTTGGCCACTGATGCTACTCCAACTAGCCCTGACACCTGTCTGTTAACCCAGGACAGACTGACTGCTGCCCCCTTCTCCCCACACTGAGCCCCAAACCCTGCCCAGTCAGGCTGAACCCCAACTCTGGCCATGCTCTGGCCCCCTCACTCTTTCAGACTGACCCCTGATTTTGGTCACAAAGCAACCACTGCCACTAACTGACCCTTAGCAGGAGAAATAATGAGAGAGCAATTAGATGTTAAACTCTTCGAGTGAAATAGGACATCATAGAGGAGAGACTGAGGCGGGGTGGGGAGACTGGGATGGAGGGCAGAGGCTTCCCACTGGACCCCCACGGGCCTGGGGCCACACTCAGAAGGTCGGAGAGGCCTTGTGCCGGGGCACGTCGCAGGCGCTCGAGGAATGCGAGTTGCCTGACAGAATGAAGGAAGGAAGGAACGGGGTGCGAGCCAGGGCTGCCGCCCGGCCGGCCAGAGTAAAGCTGCAAAACTGCCGAGGCAGGAAGCGGGATGGGGGCGTGCCGAGGCTGCAGCGGCCGGAGCGCAGCTGGGGGCAGCGGGAGAGCAGTCGGGTCAGCGACTCCGCCGGGTGGGGGGCCCCCCAGGCCGGGAGGCTGGGAACCGGGAGGCCACGCTGCTGGCAGAGCGGCGGGGGCGCCGCGAGACTCCGGATGGGCTGGGAGCCCCGCCCGCAGGCTGCGGAGGGAGCCGGAGCCAGAGCGGAGCCAGAGCTCAGACATCCGGGCGCCAGCGAACACCTGCGAGCGGCCCCCAGGGCCCGCGGGGGGAGCGCGGGTCGCAGGGCCGAGGGCGGGCCGGGGGCGGGCCCAGGGGCGGGGCCAGTCGACCCAGCTCGGCGGGCTTGGGTCCACGTGGGCCCAGGCTCCGCCCCTGCCGGGCTGCTGAGTAGCGGTGGCTGGGGAGCGGCTCTCTCCACTCTGGGCCGGGGCCTGGCAGAGGGGGCCCTGAGAAATATCTCTGAGGGAAAGAGAGGGCGACAAGAGCTTTAGAGTGTAGCCTGGGGAATGGAGAACAGTGGTGGCCACGAGCCGTGACGGGGCCGGGAAGACAGAGCTGCAGGTTGTCCGGCTCGTCCACAGCTGGGGAGAGCCGTAACTGGGCTCGGAAGGGCACCACCATCTCCCGAGTAAAAGGCATAGATTCGAATCACTGCTTTGTTGCGTAGGAACTGTGTGGACACGGGCAAGTTGCTTTGTTTTGAGCTTTTCTCTTATTTACAAAGTAAAAATTCCTTCCAAAAGTACGTATTTTAGAGCTGATGGGATAATGACCGTTCAGACACACAATTTATAGAGAACATTGTATTTCAGGGAGCCTGGTAAATGCTTTATGCATGTTATCTTTAATCTGAACCACAAAACTGTAAGGGAGGTACCATCATCCTTTTAACAAATGAAAGGGAGACCTCAGGTGGCCGTAGGTCTTTCCCGTTCGTTCAGCAAGCACCCGCTGGGGACCGAATAGGTGCCGGGCCCCGGCAATGGGAAGGGAAAAGAGCCTGGGAGTAGAGGTGAGAACACGGGCTTTGAAGCTAGATGCAGGTGAGGTTTACTAGTCCTTGCTGTGTGACTTGGATCAAGTTATTCAGCTTCTCTGGGTGTTTCCTCTGTAAAATGGAAATAATGGTACTTTTCTGGATCGTGGTGAAGATAAGAAAATACTGGGATAAAGTAGAGTCTGGCATTTGGTAGGCACTGGGTAGGTGATTCTGACAGAGGATGCCTTCTCTGTGAGTTTTCTGTCCTAGGGCCAAATTGCTTTCACTCTCTAAGGACTCATGAATTGGTGTGCTGGTTTCAGCTTTTGTCTCAGCCACCTGAACAGCTCAGTCTCAGCAGAGCTAACAGGCAATTTCCTTGGAATTAGCTTAATAATACCTTGTAGGTGTGTGATGCATTTCAAAGAACTTTCCCACCATTATCTTCTGTCCAGGGAGGCAGTAGTACAAGAACCACCAGCTGCTGGGCAAGGGCACAGGCTTGGAAGTGGCTTGCCCATTCTAGCCTTCTGTAGCACCACAACTTCTGAGCCAGCAGGAAGCAGCATACTGTAGCAGAAAGAATCGGAACCTTCAGTTCAGTGCCTGGCTCTACTGCAGCTAATGGTGTAATGTGGGGCCAGGTGCCTCAGAACTGGATCCTCAAGATCAGCAATTTTATACCGATGTGAAAACCGAGGCTCAGTGATTCAGCGAGTATGTGACGGAGCAAGGACTTGCCCCGCTGTGTGGCTGTCTCAGAGCCAGCATAGCACACCTGACTAATGACCCAAGATAGACCCAGCCTGGGTCTTGCATCTCTTGCTTTGAGACAAGAGTTCCTCACATGAAGACTGAGGGCTTCCCAGGAGACTAGAGATTTGCTATTGCTCTGCAAAGTTGTGTGCATGTATTTGTGTGTGTATTTTCTGAAGTGTTCATGCCTTCCATTAGATCATCAGAGGAGACCAGGGAAGAAGTTGAGAACCGCTGGTCGGCTGGGAGGATGGTTGGCAAAGACAGGTTGCTTGCCTCCCCACCAGATGCCCCTGTTCACCCCTGAAAGCTCACCAGGGTTAAGGCATGAAGGGCGATGATGTGAGCTGTTTGTTATGAAATATTAAACTAATTCATGCCAAGGGCCAACACACAGATGAGATCATATCATAAACAAGAATCTGGTGAGGCCAGATGCCTGTGGAGCCCACCTGGGGAGCTGCCAGGTAGGAGGCAAATTGGCATGGATTGGGGGCTTGGCCCCATGGAATATCCAGTCTGGGACCCTGCTCCTCTCTCACAATGTTAGTCACTGTAGTTAAGATCAAAATCCCATTTCTGCCTCTCTTGGGGCTGTGATAATCTGGCTAAGATTCATTATCAACTCAGCCTGTTTCTCCATTTCTGAAGTAGGGATAAAGATGCTTGCTCAGACTCTCAGTAGAGGTGTTTGGGAAGGAAATAACACAGGAATGAGAGTACTGGGCCTCTTCCTCCAATTCCCCATCCAGGGTCAATTCTTCAACTAGCTGACGGTGGGGAAGGGATTGGTACCAGTATGTTCCAACCAGCACCAAAACCCTGATCATCAGGGTGCCTGGGGATTTGAGGGAAGCGACCCAAGAGGAAGCCCAATCAGAGAGCATGAGGAAGGAAATGAAACCAGACCAATTCATCTCTGAAATGGGTCTATGAACCACCACCCCTGTCTGGGCACCAGGTGAGGCTCCTCTCTTCCCTGTCCCATGCTAGAAAGACACAAATAATTAATGGCAGTGAACTAAGACAGCCATCTGCTAGTGTAGCACAAAATCCCAGGGGGCTTCCTGGGATCCAGACCTGATTTCTATCCTGAGCTCCCAACTTGCTGGGTGAATTTGTAGCAGTCACTTCCCCTCTCCAGTCTCCCCTCATCTGTAGAATGAGAGGCCAGGGCCAGGTTATTCTCTGCAGCCAACTTTCAATGGATGTAGGGCCCCCATCATGAGTCCCTTCCACTCCCCCTCCCCCCAATGTTAGTTGGTCATTTCCCCATCTCCCTTTTAAGGCAATAAATAAGTTTGCTCTTTCCAAGCTCCAAGAAGAACATTTATTCCTCCTAAATTCAGCCTTGTGAAGATGTTATTAGCGCTTATGGAATCAAATTACATATGCAAGTGTTTAAAAACCGTTTATTATGCAAAATGTTAACTTTTATAAAAAGTTTAATAATATACATCACTTGGTCACAGAAAGTCACCTTCCTGCAAAAAGGTACAAAAGCTATATACTCTATTATAGAGTTCATAATCAGGGCCACAGAGCCTTTTCCCGAGGAGACCAGAAGACCAGCTCTACTGCTGTCTTGGCAGTTTGGGAGCAGCCACTCTCCCCCCACTCCCACCCCCACACTCTAAAAGACAGTCTTTAAAACTTGGGGATGGGGTGGGGCTGGGTGACGTTGCCCAGCTGGTGCCCAGAGCTAGCTCTGGCTCTTTAGGCCACCCAAGTTCACAGTCCTTCGCTCCCGGGCGCCAGGTCCAGCCTCGAAGCAAGGGTTTGGGGAAGTCAAGTGGGCAGGGAGAGACTGGGGCCCATCCATGCTCTGGAGCTTCGGGCCATAGAGCCCTGGGGTCCTGGGTCCCAGGCGGAACGGGCGCCAGCACCTGCGTTCTGGGCGGGGGAGGAGAGAAGACCAGTGAGTCGTCGGTTTCCGCCGAGTGAGCCGAGGCGGGGGCCGTCCGCAGACTGGCCGGCGCCAGGGAGGAAACTTGGTCTCTACCTCCAGCTGATAACTGCGCCCCACGCTGCCCCCACCCAGTTGGCGCCAAAGGACCACAGGCGGAGCTTGCTTCACCCCTCCCTCTTGGAACTGACACTAGTTGGGAGGGGGTTGAGGAAGACACGGCTCTCTTTACGACTCCAAGTACTAACAGACGTCTATTTTGTTTAATAGGACCTGCGAGTACTTTGTTGGGTCTTTGGCCACTGGGGGAGGGCAGGAGCAACATGCGTTTAAGGTTGAAACACACACAAGATGAAAATTGGTTCCGTCATTCATGTGGCTTGACCACGGGCAAGTTTCTTGCCCCTGGCCTCGGTTTCGCTAAATGGAGGGGGTGGTAATATCTTAAAAGATCTACCAACTCCAAGATTTACTGTCTAACCACCACAGCGCCTGCATCCCCGGAAAAGGTGGGGATACTCACCTGGAGATGCCAGGACGGACAGGTCAGTGGCAGAAGCTCCTCTTGTCGTTGGAGATTACAAGTTCAGGAGAGAGGTCGGCTGTCTGAGAGAGAAGGAAAAGAGGCGAAAATCAGGTATGCCACTTGGGAGTTCCCAGGAGCGCAGCAGCATCCCAGTCCTGGAACTCAGCCCCGCCCCGGCTTGCGCGCACGCCTGAGCGTACCTGGATGGGAAGATGCGGACCGTCTGGGGGTCCAGGGGCGGGTTCGGCCAGGACCACCTGCAGGTCGAGGATGTAGTCGATGACGCGCTGCAGGATTTCCACCTGGCTAAGCTGAGTGCCTCGCGGGACTCCGGGTACCAGTTCCCGCAGGCGAGAGTAGCAGTGGTTCATGTCATCGAGCAGGCTCAGCGGCTCCTCCGCCGCCGGGCCCTTGCCGCGGCCCCGCGCGATGGCTAGGCTGCGTTCAGAAAGGCAGCACACCGCCTCGTAGCACCCGCGCACTGGACTTAGCGCCTTCATGTTGAGGAGTGAGGTTGAACGTGCAGAAAGAATCTACAGCGAAAACAGAAGCCTCAGAACAGCTTGAAGTGCGCGCACGCTCTCCAGCGGCCGGTACTTATAGAGCCAGCCTCGAAGGCACCGCCTTTTATGCAAAACAGCCCGCCTCGGCCCCGCCCCCTCCGACCAAGGGCGTTCACTACGCGGTTAAATTGCAAACAGGCTTTCTTCGGCGGCTCTGACGCCGAATACCGCGGAGTCGTGGATTCAAAGAATGAGGAAGAGCTGATACTGGGGAGAGGCTAGCCTCTTTGCCAGCAAGGATTTCAAAAATCACTTAAAACCATTAACTTTAAGAATTTGCCTTTTCCTGGCAGCGACCCAGATCTTTGAGCTCCCCTGCCCCCTGCCAATCCACCCACAGCCCAACACTAGTTCGAACCCACAGCTCCTCTGAGGTCATAAATCCCTGAACAGCAAAGAAGCTTTTTTTTTTTTTTTTTTCAAAAGCAAAGATTTTTCAAGGGAAACTTGTAAGGAATTAGTGCCGCCTTGTTCCCCAATTTGCTGTTCGTCTGACCTCCAGACTCACTGGCGTCAGGAATTATCTTGTGACCAGAGGGGAAAAAAATTAATTGCGGTGAAGCTGAGGTTACAATGAAGAAAACAGATTTGGGCTAGGCGCTGAGATTACAGAAGGAGGAGGGGAAAGGGATTTGAGCAAAAACATTATTTGAGCAACAGGAGAAAAGGAAAAGAAAGGAGACTGAATCAGTGCTTTTTGCACGGGAAAGGGAAAGAGCCACCCTCCTCTGGCCTGCGGCACTCCATCAGAGGCCAAATGCATGCCCAGTTACGTTTTGGCAGTGAGTCTGATTTGGTTAGAATTGTGGACAGTTCTAAATCAAGGAGGGGCAGTGACAGAAGGGAAGATTCCTATATAACCGTTTTAGGAGCCACCCATGGAGTCAACAAATCTCTTAAGTCTTGCTTCCTCCTTTCTTACCACTCTCCAAACACCTCTACGCAGAAAACAGTAGTTCGGGGATACCACAGCTCTGTTGTCTATCTCTTTCTGCTATGAAACGGCAGGCTACCTGGACTTGATTATTCTTGGCCCTGATGAACTAGCTCCCGCTCTATCTGAGAGCCCAGGAAAGGGACCAGAGGACAGGCAAGTAGAGCCCTGTATTGCAACAGGACATTCATTCCATTCAGTAGCCTTTGCTTGTCTTCTTACCACTTCCTAGAACTTCTGGGAAGTTGCAGCCTTAAAATGCTGGTTTCATCTTGACACTGACCAAGTGGGATCCCCCAATGGTTGCTTCCTTAGTCGATCAGTTGGTAGATACTTACGGAATCACTTCACATAAAGCAATGGCTCCTGCTCTCAAGAATCTCACAATTTGGGGAGACAAGATTAACACAGGAAACAATGAAGAGTTCTATAGTATGTGGCACTGATTAACAGGACAATGTGAGCTCAGAGCTAGGAGAGCCTCGAAACAGTCATAATAAAAAGGACATGAGACTGGAAGTCAGGAGGCTTACAGTTCAACACCCCACCCCTGCCAATAGTTTGTCGAGTGACCTTGAACAACCCCAGCTGCCCTGGCCTCACTTGCCTTGTGCATAAAATGGGCAGATGGTTCTAAGTGTTTTTTAAAATCATTTCCAAATCTAGAAGTCCAAGGCTTTATGATTTTGGACAGGCAAGTGTGGAGTGGTAAAGGGTGCAGAGAGGGACTATAAGCCATGTCCAGTGCCGCAGCACAAATAATGGCAGAGCCAGACCTGACGTCTTGTTCTTTGCTGTCATTCCACAGTGCTTTATGTCCCAAGAAATGTCTTTGAAAGGCCTGTTTTCAAGGACAGCTTCTTTAGTATAAGGAAAAGGAAGGAAATAACCTGCGAGTAAACAAGTCAACCCATATATACTCAGAACATGAAGTGAAGAGCATGCCAGCTATTTGGTCATGGAAAGGGAAAATGGTGTCTATGGCGACTCCTGAATGACCACGGAGAAAGGTCCTTCCTTTTCTATCATGGAGAGTTCCAAGGTTTGTGCGAAATGGCGATGCCCAGGAGGTTCTAGAAATATGGTCTTCGGGGCCGGGCAGATTTATGTTCAAATCCCCATTCTCTTTTACCAAAGAAGTGAACTTAGGGTAAGTCACCTCTCTATGCTTCAATTTCCTGATTTATAAAATGCGCCTAATTAAACCAACCTCTTGCCTTCAACAAGTAATTATCGAATGCCTCCTCTCTGCCAGGCACTTCACATGCTGTCGCCAACAGATCCATTCGTCTCCTTGGTGCCTGGGGACCCAGCATGGGCCAGGTGTGTGGTAGGTGCACAGCCCACAGGTCCTCACAGGTTCTCCTCATGCTTGTAAAGCCATTTTCAAAACACCTTCACCTTTGCTATTTCCCAAGATGCTTTCAGATTGAAATGCCTCTGGGCTGTGTGACATAGGCAAGAGAGAGACACGCAGTGGGATAAGCAAGCGAAATTCTGTCCTTGCCATGTCAATAACTAGCAGTGTGGCCCCTTTCCTTTCTCCTGGGCTTCCTTTTCTGCAAAATTGGGAATGGAAAGTAGCAAATGACCTCTAAGGTCCTCTCCAATCTAAGATTCTAATTCTGAAAGAGGCAGGTTAAGGTTGGAACACTAAATGAAGCTTGAATCCCAAAGACTTCTTTTTCCCAACGGCAGACTGGAGGGCTAGCTCCCGTTTTATGCAAGTTGCTTAGTGGTGGCGGGGCCTCAGCCTCTTATTCCAAATGCCTCTGAACTTTCTGTTCCCAGTTCTGCTCCTTTTACCAGCTTTTCCCCCCTCTTGCATTTTTTATTTTTATGAAAGGATGTCATTAAGGCTTTTGTCTGCACTGTTTTTGTTTCAGAACTTTTCTCACAATCCTATTTTTTGTTGAGGAATCCGCTCCTTTGCCCAGCTGTGGGTCCCGGTCCCACAGCTGTGTTGATCTAAGACTCAGCCCCAGACAGCCTGGCGCCAGGGTGGGACGTCATGCGTTCACACAGGGATGCGTGTCCCAGGCAACCTTTCCTCGGGCAGTCACCGGCCGGCGACGGCCGCCCCCACCAATGAGCGTCCGACACCCGAGAAAGGGGCGGAGTCTGTGCCGCCTCCGCCCGCGAGCGGCTAGTGAGTCGCAGATGCTGAGAACTTGATAACGTTCCTTGAATTGGTGCCTTCTAAAGTCTTTTTCCCCCCCTCTTTCTTCTCTTTCTTTTGTTTGTTCTCTTTCTTTCCACCGTCTTCCTTTATCTATAAATGTATATAGTTTTTCGTCGCCTTCCTTTTTTAACTATCTCCTCCCAGTGTCAGGAATTATTTTGTAAGCATTTCCAGGAACTGAATCTTCCTTTGCCAAAATTAAAAAAAGAGAGAGAGAAGAAAAAAAATAAGTGTTGTGCTCTCTGAATTTTTTTTTTTGAAGAGTTGGCAGAACTATTAAGTTATACTGTTTTGTCTTTAAATTTTTTTAAAGTGGTGGGGGGTCTCTGAGCTGTCGATTTCAAAGCCAAAGTGATGATGATGATGAGAGTTGCAGATGTCTTTTTGCCTAAACCGAGCCTCTATCTTTTTTTTTTTTTGCCATTTATGTTGACAGTGAGGATCAAGGAAACTTCAGAAACTTGCCCAAGGTTACTTGGGGTGACAGCTGCCCACCTGTGGCCAAGACCCAGACCTCCCTCTCACTGGGCTCCCCGTCCCCTCTGCCCTCCACCACTCTGCCCTCCCGTTCTCATTAGCGTTAGAGTGATCTGCGGTGGCCGCAGAACACCCCCAGACACTGCATTTCCTAGCCTGTACCTGTTTGCTCACAATGTTCCCGTGAAGGTCTGCGGAGGATTTCCCTGCTGGACATGTAGAAATATCCACCCCTTCTCCCCTCAGCAAGGCTGCACCTCGAAGTACTGCTTGGGACTTGTGCCGTACAAGAAAGCACCGGGAACTCAGAAGCAAGCAAGGCCGGCTTCAAACCGTTGCAGAGGCTACCTACCCTCACTCTGCCTCTGTTGTCCCCTCTGTAAAATGAGGAGAAAAATAATATCCATCTTCCTCACAGCTGGGAGGGTCACCAGGGATGAGGGGTGGGAAGTGTTGTGGGACCCAGTTACTGTTGTCATTATTATTTTATTCTCCCTGAGGACATGCTTATTGATTTTTTTTTAGAGAGAGAGAGAGAGAGGAAGAAGGGAGGGAGAGAGAAAGGGAGAGAAATATCAATGTGAAAGAGAAACATCAATTGGTTGCCTCCTGAATGCACTCTGATGGGCGACCAAACCAGTCTGAACAGCAGCCTAGGCATGTGCCCTAACCAGGGGTCGAACCCTCAACCTTTCAGTTTACTTACTGGATGACACCCCCACCAACTGAAGCCACACTGGCCAGGTAATTATTCTGATGTGCTATGATGTAAACTAGGCCCTGGTGAGTAGGATAGGTGGTGCCACGTGAGTTTCATGGGTCCTGCTGAGACTGTTTTCAGGAATCTGGGCAATACTGAGAAGGGGCACGTGGGGAGCAACTGGAGCTAAAGCATGAGTCCTTACAGCGGTGGGGATGTTAGGAGCCTCCAGGTTGGGCTACTCTGTACTTGGTGTCATCATCAGCAGCAGCAGCAGCAGTGTCCTTCAGTGACTCTTAACTGTTGGCCAAGTCCTGTTTGCCGCCTCTCACATTATCTCATCGACCCACTTTATGGACAAAGAGACCGAGGTTCCAGGAGGTTAATGTGCTTGCCCGGGGCCACATAGCTCATAAGCAACAGAGCCAAGATTTGCAACAACATCTGCTTGTCTCAAAGAGTGTCATTTTGTGCCTGTGCTTTTCATTCTGTTCCTTCACAAAGGACCTCCTGGGAAGGTAGCTTGGACCTGAGAGGGTTTTATTCTACCCGGTAGAGGAAAGCAAGGAGTGGGGGGATGCACTGAGGAAGGGAGAGAGAGAGAAACATTGATTTGTTGTTCTACTTACTCATGCATTCATTGGTTGATTCTTATATATGCCCTGACTGGGGATTAAACCTGGAACCTTGGCATATCAGGATGATGCTGTAACCAACTGAACTCC